AGACTACTCACCTGCAAGAGAAAATGAAATCTTTCCTTTTGCTACAATTCGGATGGAACTATGACATCCCATGAACTGCTTCAGAGGAATAGGACAAAAGCTGAATGATCCCATTTGTATCTTGTACAGAAAGAAATTAATCAAGGCAGTGGGCAGTATGAGGGGAGAACAAACCCTTAGAGTGTGAGACCAGGACTGGTTTATCCAGTATGGGTAGAGGGGATGGCAAGGGGGTGAAATGTGGTGGGGGCGGGGAACTAGAAGAGATATTGACAGTGGTGGAGGGAATAGAGAGTGATTGACACTTTGCGGTAACTTTGCATACCAAAAGCAATGCATATTAACACTATTGCAAACCACATTACCCTAATCATTTTATATACATGGGCTTTGGGGCCACACCCTGCAGTGCTCGGGGCTTATTCCTGGCTCTGCATTCAGGGATCACTTGGGGCGCTCATGAGTCCATCTGGGATGTCGGGGATTGAAGCTGGGTCAGCCACATGCAAGGCAAACACCCTCCCCACCATCCTCTTGCTCCAGCCCTTAATAAAATATTTGAAAATAGCATCCATAGCCCATCCTGATGAGCCATGTTCCTCCAGCAGCCACGACCAGGGCAGCTTTAAAGAATAGGACTTGCTTCTCTGGCATTTCCAGAAGCCAGGGTTCTGGCATCTCACTGTCCACAAAGCTGTGCTTCCTCTGAGGACCTAGCGAGATAGTCTGTTCTGTGTGTGTGTCTTTCAGTGGCTAATGAATCCAAACACCTGTGCATCCTCTGCCTCTGTCTTCTAGAACCTTCTCCCTGAGGCTATGTTTTCCCTTCCTTATCAGAACACTTGCCATTGGAAGAGGACCCACCCAGACCACTCGTAATGATTTCATCACAAGATCTTTAAGTAGCACTGTAACACCTTCCTCCCATTGTTCATCGATTTGCTCGAGTGGGCACCAGTAACGTCTCCCTTGTGAGACTTGTTACTGTTTTTGGCATATCGAATACACCACAGGGAGCTTGCCAGGCTCTGCCATGCAGGTGGGATACTCTCGGTAGCTTGCCAGGCTCTCCGAGAGGAACGGAGGAATCGGGTCGGCTGTGTGCAAGGCAGATGCCCTACCTGCTGTGTTACCACTCCAGCCCTAAAAAATCTTTAAGTACAGGTACAACGATCCTTTTTTTCCCCTTTTCTTTTATTTTTTATTTTTATCAATTAGAACACCAGAGTAATACTACAGAAGGTAGGGTGCTTGCCTTGCACACAGCCAACTTGACTTTAATCCCTGGAACCCCATATTGTCCCCCAAGCCCACCATGCATGATCCCTGAGTGCAGAGCCAATCGTAATCCCTGAACATAGCTGGATTCAAACACCACCCAATTTTTTTTTTATTGGCTGAGAGTCTCTGGTCGACAATACTATTAATAATGGTTTTCTCACACACCTAATTCCAACACCACACCCATCAGCAGTTCGCCCACCTCCCTCTCCCACAGACTCCAACACCCCTCACTCTCAAACCACCCCGCATCCCCAAACAAACTCAATTGTTTGGCTCTGTTCTTCCATTATGTTGCCATAGTCCCTTTATTGCTACCTTACTGTGCTTCTTCAAGCCCTATGTATAAGACAGATCATACTCTATCTGTCCCTTTTTTTTCTGACCTCACTCAGCATGATACCCCCTAGGTCCATCCATGTTGCTGCAAACTACATGATTTTGTTGCCAAAATTCTGACCCTGAAGGTCATCCACGCAGGGCACGAGTTGGATATGGGCACATCACTTGGAGATCCACATTTATTCCTCTACATTCATATGAATTAATAACTGACCACAAGAACAGAAATAAGGGATGGGGGCGGGGGGGGAGAAGGGTAGTTGAATTTCCCATGCAAAATTACCTACTGTTTCAGTAAGTAAATTTCCCATGGGAAAAGTTCAAAATAATAGCTGTGCTGAGCTGGAGCAATAGTACAGCAGGTAGGGTCTGAGCCTCGGCACCCCATATGGTTCCCCAAGTCTGCCAGAAATGAGCTCTGAGCACAGAGTCAGAAATAAGCCCTGAGCACAGCTCAAAAAATGAAGAAAAAAGAAAACTGTAGACACCTGCCTATGGAAAGAGAGATTATCCTCCCTGCTTTCCTTCTGTGAGGGCTGCAAACAGAGAATTCTTGTCCGGAAAAATAGCAGGAAAGGGGTGGGAGAGATGAGGCACTGCAGAGCATCCTGGCAAACATGACCTCCACAGAGCCATGAGCTTAACTCCAGTGATGGCGAGTCCAGGGCACACACTTTTTTTTTCCTTTTTTTTTCCCTTTTTTTTTTCACTTTTTGGGTCATACCCGGCAGTGCACAGGGGTTACTCCTGGCTCATGCGCTCAGGAATTACTTCTGGCGGTGACCAGAGAACCATATGGGATGCTGGGAATCGAACCTGGGTTGGCCACGTGCAAGGTAAGTGCCCTACCTGCTGTGCTATCGCTCCAGTCCCCAGACACTTCTAAGTTGACCTGCGAGACACTTCTCATTGCTGGGTCTCCTGAAAACCCTGAAGTCCACCTCACCATGAGAAAAGCATCAGACTGCATTTCAACAGGGCAACATCCCTCCACAGACAATTCTTCATCATTTGATTTTTCTCAATAGACATGCTTTCATGATTAAATCTTAAGAAGATAAATATTGAGACTCTCACAGGAGAGGCACGTTATTTTTATTTTTATAAAGTTGCTCACACTGATGAATTACATTCAATATTTCGACACCAGTCACACCACCATAATACCTTCCCAATGGTACGGACCTGAAAGACTAAACAGAAGTGGACTGAGAGAATTTCCTACCCTGTAGTTGTAGTTTTTCTCTTCGTCTGAAATGGTTCTGACACAAAATGAAATCTTCCAGTGAGTTTAATGCCTGCCATAGAGACAGACTGCGGGGAGGGTGGTGGGAGGGAAACTGAGGACATTGGTGGTGGGAAATGTACACTAGTGAAGGATGGGTGTTGGAGCACTGTATGACTAAAATCTGACCATGAACAGCTTTGAACTTTTCATCTAAAAATAAATAACTGTAAATAAATAAACATTTTAAAAGGAAAGTTTGGGAATAAGGTTTTCTGGGACATGACTGAACAAAGAATAGGAATTTTCAGTGACAAGGGATGAGTCTGTTCCAGAGAGCGGATGGACAGGATGGAGCTGCTTCTCCACCGCACAGTATTTCACATTTGAAATCTGCTAAGAAAGAGATTGTTAGTGTCTTCACCCTGTGAAGATAAAAGGAACTAGGAGAAGAGGTTAATTAAGCCCAATGTGGTAATCAACTCACAGTCAACATTGATGTGAAAAGCTCCCATTGTCTATCTGTACAACAACTTTTATTTGTCAATGACACCTCAGTTAAAAGGAACAGTTGTGATTAATTATGTATTTAGACCCGTATGTAATTAGCAGAAGATGCACGCTGCTATGTTTCTGTAAAGGGATGAAGACCTAACACAGTTTCTCAACCTCAGCACTATGGATGTTTTGTTCAGAAGACAACTTTCCCATTGTAGCATGTTAAATGGAACCCCTGGTGTCTATTAAATGCCTCCCTGCCATTATACCACCCCATTGTGCAGGACAGATATGTCTCCTGATACTGCCAAATATCCATTTCAGAATAATTGCTCACGATTATTTTATAATTCTATTCTTCCTCCTAAGGAAGATGAGTAATGCCCTCCTAGCAAATGTGAAAGAGCCCTTAATTTGGAGACCCCACTCACCCATATTTCACAGTGGCTGCAGCTCAGAGGATCAATGCCATGCATGCTGATCTTTGTCCCGAATATCTTCATTGTTGATATAAACTGAGTAACATATAGCACAACTGGACGAGACTTAGTCAAGAACATGTTTTATTATTGGGATAGAGAAGGGACTATTCCAAAGAATGTTGGAAATGATCACTCTGGATAAGAACTGCATGTTGAAAGTAGGTAAAAGAACAAACATGATAACCCTTCAGTATCTGTATTGCAAGCCATATATAATGCTCAAAAGAGGAGAGAGAGAGAGAGCGAGAGAGAGAGAGAGCGAGAGAGAGAGAGAGAAGAAAGGTGGCTGCATATAGTTATAGAGTCATAGAAACAGGCTGGGGTAGTGGAGTTGAGAGGGAAACTGAGGTCATTGGTGGTGGGAAATGGACACTGGTGGAGGGACGGGTGTTTGTATGACTGAAATCTAATCATGAACAACTTGGTAACAGTGTATTTCATGAAGACTCAATTTAAAAAAAAATAACAGGCTTTATTACTCATTTGTGGGATATGAAAAAAAAAACTTAGTATAAGACTAATAACCAAGCATAGTAGAAACAAAGGTCTGGAAGATTGGTCCATGGTTGGAAGCCTGCCTCAGGTGCTGAGGCAGAAGGCCATTTGGCATAGAGAAGGGGCCACTATAGCAATGGTAGTTGGGAATGATCTCTCTGGAAAAGCAGTGGGGGAGAGAGAGGAGGAGGAGAAGGTGGAGGAGAATGAGGACAAGGAAGAAAAAAGTCCTCCATAGAGGTAGGCTGGGAGAACAGTTGGAAGGAAACTGGGGACATTGCCCTCATGAGTAATGCCCTCCTAGCAAATGAGAAAGGTGGTTGGAAACGGACACTGGTGAATCACCGAAACCCAATCCTGAACAACTTTATAATTGTATATCTCACCGTGACTCAATAAATAACAATAATAAAATAATAATTCCAAAAGAGAGAACAGGCTTTATTTTTCTACATGCTGAATTCCCACTTCCACATAGCTCAGACACAGTAGGACAGTCATGAAAAGATACTTCTTCAAAATGATTCCAATCGAACTTACTTACTAATCCTTCCAACCCAGGGATGATCCTGAGTAACACTAAGACCAAAGGTGCAAACATAACCCAGGGTATCAATGTCATCATGTCCTCAGTCCCCAGATTTCTGGCTGGCCCTGAAAGAGGGCAGGTAGGGGCAGGGTTGGCAGGCGCCATGTCCAGTCATGAAGGTGGCAAGAAGAAGACCCTGAAGCAGCCCAAGAAGCAGGCCAAGGAAATGAATGAGGAAGATAAGGCATTCAAGCAGAAACAGAAGGAGGAGCAGAAGAAACTCCAGAAAACAAAAGCCAAGGCCTTGGGTAAGGACCCCCTGGCCACTGCTGGAATTAAGAAATCTGGCAAAAAGTAAGCTGTTCCTTGTGCTGGAGATAATGGTAATCTTTAATTCTATTACTGGTTAAACATCTGGATTCCCTGTGTAGCCTCTGTTGCCAGCAGCACCTAGAATGAAGTGCTGGGGGTTTTTTTTAGGGGGGGGGGAGGAAGAGGAGAAGGAGGAGGATGAGGAGGAAGAGGAGGAGAAAAAGGAGAAGAAGAAGGAGAAGGATAAGAAGGAGGAGGAGGAGGAGGAAGATGAAGAAGGAGAAGGAGAAGGAGAAGGAGAAGAAGAAGGAGAAGGAGGAGAAGGAGGAGGAGGAGGAGGTGGAGGAGGAGGAGGAGGAGAAGGAGAAGAAGGAGAAGAAGAAGAAGAAGAAGAAGAAGAAGAAGAAGAAGAAGAAGAAGAAGAAGAAGAAGAAGAGGAGGAGGAGGAAGAGGAGGAGGAAGAAGAGGAGGGAGGAGGGAGGAGGGAGGAGGGGGAGGAGGAGGAGGAGGAGGAGAAGGAGAAGAAGAAGAAGAAGAAGAAGAAGAAGAAGAAGAAGAAGAAGAAGAAGAAGAAGAAGAAGAAGAAGAAGAAGAAGAAGAAGAAGAAGAATTCATATGGTTGCTCATTCCCTGGTTCTCAGAAGATTTGATTGCACCCACCCCCACCATCATTTGAATACATGCAAGAACATTCCATGCAAAAACTGAGAAAACAGAGCAAGCATGAGAGGAGGGAACATAGGAAGGAATAAACCTAACGTAGTCAAGCATAATGAAGAAAGCCCCAGGATGTTGAAGAAAGCCCCCGGACATCGTGGTCCTTTGGGTTCCCATGGATACAAAGTGAAGCACAGCTCAGTTTTGCTCACAGAAGTGGAGCATGTGTGTTGACGTCCCAAGCTTCCTCTAATAGAGCCAAGAGATGACCTACCTGGGAAAGCTCTAAAAATGATCGTCAGAGCTGGGCTCACAATGAAAAGAGGAGAAAAGAAAAAGCCTAATCCGATCACATCTCAAAACCCTCCCCGAATGTAGACCCCCACCCCTTGAAATCCCACCACCAGAACAACCCGAGAAAACTCTAACTGGGAGCTGTGTTTGCTGGGGATGTTGTATCTTCTCTCTGGGAATTATGGGATCTTGCATTAGTCGCTGCTGTATGTTGGCCTCTGGATTCTTTATACATACATCAGTAGATCAGAAAACACTGCATTAACTACTTAGATCCCATTTGTCAGCAGAAGGAAAAGAATTTCTGAGTGAAACAACACAGCAGGGTATCACAATACATTGTATGATATGGAACCAACAGATAACATAACCCAGCCAGGAGAAAATCTGTAAGCCTTAACTCTACAGAGCTCCCCCTCCCTTGCAGGGTGGAGGGTGCAAAGGAATCAGAACAGCTCCTGAACTTCCCACTAAATATCTCTCAGTTGCCTCAATTCTAAAATCCCATCAATTATAAGATAATTATCCATTTTACCCTCCAAAATAGGAAGAAGTAAAAATTCAAACATGTAAATCAATATTAAAGTGCTACCTGATGTTAGAAACATATAAATGTAAGGGAAAGAGCTTGAGTGGTTCAACAGATAATGCTCCTGTTTGCATGCAACTGGCTCCAGGATCCATTCCTGGCATCACAAAAATTGCCCCGAGTACTACCAGGAGTGAGCCCTGAGCACAGATTCCTAAACACAGCCGGGTGTGATCCAAAATCAAACACACACACACACACACACACACACACACACACACACACACGGGGGGGGGGGGGGGGGATTAATCAGAAAAAAAATCATTAAACAACTTCAAGAGTAGAAAAACAGCCTTGGAAAGTCTTTTAGCTGACCCCATGCACTCAAGCAAGCTCTCCACACCCACAACCATCAGAGAAAGTCTGGCTAATTCTCAAGACTGGTCTCTCTTCATTTACAGTGGCATTCCTTCAGTAGGAGTGAATTATAATTTGCCCCTGGTAGAAATAAGAGAAAGAAAAAGTGTATACAATTTGCATACTAAAAACTGGAATGCTAATGAAGACAAATCACTCTTCTCAGTGGAATGGTCTAGTGCTAAGAGTCTCCCTTTTTCTCTGCTTTTAACTTCGTTTAGAGGGGAAATAATTAAAGAGGGAAAAAAGGAGTTTTAGTCAGGGAATGCCCTAGCTTTATGCATTGTAGGCAAGAATTATTCAAGCAGAGTCTTGAATAAATGTGCACACATACAAAGTTTCTATGTTTAAGACATACTCTTCATAAGTATTAGAAATTAGAAGTTTTAGAGAAAGACCTGATTTGGGACTTCACAAATCATCCACTGAAAATCTTAATGTATGAGATAGTCTTAATGTGACGATCAGATTCCGGAATCAGTAGAAAGAGGTCTGAAGTTATATCTTATAACTTACTGAATATACCACTTCCACTTCAAAGTTTCTGTTTGTTGCATGGCACTAGTACAAATAAGTCCCATATATTAAATTCAAAATTGAAAGAGACCATTTCCTACCATATTGGGCATTCAACAGACTTTTAACCTCCCTACCCCTGAAATAAAATTTCAACAAAAATGTCTATATAAATTATATTATTCTTAATCAACTTGGCTTGATCTATGTTTCATGGGAAGTGAAGAATTTTATTTTTATTTGACTAAAAACCAAAGGTGCTGACTTTATGCCAGGGTCCCATAGGGTCTAAGAACAAATGAAGAGTAGATGACGTCGGAGTTTTAGGTAAGAGGGATTTGCATCTAGCAGAAGATGGAGGAGCACAGCAAATCTCTGGAACTCTGCTAAAGGCATGTTCTAGGCAAGAGTAGCTGAGCATGACAGTGCCCTCATAGGTATGGCCAATGATCTGGGAGCATAAAGGAAGGTGCCACAGAGATGGAAAGATCATAGAATAGAGAGGTGTCAAGGGGGCAGGTGGAGTCAATAAGATTTGGGCAGAGTATTCTTCAGAAAGGAAAGAATCTATAGTCATCATGCCCAGGAAATAGGGCAAGAGGGTTCCTCAGTTTTTTCTTATCAGTTATCAGGAGACACTTTATCTTAAACCACATTAAGAAAACAGGGGACAGGGGTCAAGGGTCTCAGGTGTGTTGGTGATGTAGAGGTATATCCAAACCACAGACTCAACAACACTGAAAGCAGGAAATCCAAACCACAACTAACAAACTTCATAAGATGCCTGTCAAGGAGACAGACTAGGGTGAGAGGGAACCTAGGGACACTGGTGGAGAGATGTTGACACTAGTGGTGGGATCTATGCTAGAATATTATATGTCTAAAACCCAATGATTAATAGCTTTCTAAATCACAGTCCTTTAATAAAAACAAATTTTATTCTGTCGGTCAAAGAGGAATCGTCCACCGGGAGACTCCCATGTCCATCGTTTAGATTCTGCCTTCTGGAACTGTGAGTTACCATGAATGGTCTTGGTCGACATGATGAACTCAGACAGTCTCTCACCCTGTTCGTTCCATTCTAGGCCATGGGTCCCAATGTGAAGTTCTTCAGCTGATCTTCTCGGTCCTATCTTGGCATTAAAATCACCCACAATGATCTTGTAGAAGGTGTGGTCTTCTTTATAGAACTTCTCTAGCTCCATGTAGAACTTCTCGATTTCTCTTTCATCATAATGAGATGTTGGTGCGTAGACAACGAAGATAGAAACTGCAGGCAGTGAGCCACATCTATTCAAATGTAAACGTCCGATTCGGGTTGTTAGGCATTCGAATGAATCAATGCTCTTGGCCAAGTTTGTGTTGACAAGGACACCGACGCCTCCAACACCTCTTTTATCGTATGTTCCGAGGAACAATTCTTCTCCGGTGTCGAAAACAGCATGGTGAGATTCGTGCCTTCTTGTCTCGGTCAGACCAATGATGTCGTACTTGATCATTCGCGCTTGTACCATCAGGTCCTCGATGGATGCATCTGATGCTAGCGTACGTGCATTGAAAGTACAGACGATCATTTTTGTCTTCCTTCGTTGTGGCAGCCTAGGTCGGCCTTGAGATTTTGTCGGCCTCTCCTTTCTCATCCTTCTCAGTGCTGCCATGTCGGTGAAGCCTTCAGGGTCAGGTGAATGAGACCAGTTGTAGTTACTGGTTTTGGCATATCGAATACACAGCGGATAGCTTGCCAGGCTCTTCCGTGCGGGCGGAATACTCTCGGTAGCTTGCCAGTCTTTCCGAGAGGTATAGAGGCTTTTGGGGTGACCTCTAATCACCCTTGTAGGTGTTACCATATTTGAACCCTATCAAATATGGTACGACAATTCCAGAAGATGGGTATTTAGTGTCTTATGATGTGTCCGGAAAGCGTCCTGGAGTGTGGCAACGGCTGGGTAGTGGAAGTAGTGTCCACAACGAAATAGACCACATCATATTCAATCGACGATTTTGCCTGACTGATGTCGCTGTTGTCCCAAAATTTCGAACGGGATCGGACCACCGTCTCCTTCGTGCAAAATTCTACTTCACAGAGCGGGGAGAAAGGGCTGCAAAGTTCAAAAAGAGAACTCCCAGAATGACCACCAACTGGGAACTCTTTGGTACTATTGCGGCAACATGGGAAGATGCCATTGTTGACAACATTGACGAGGAATACGATCGACTGGTTCAGCACCTCCATGAATGTGCGAGGAACGCCAAGAGAGAGATAGCCACAAAAAGTCGCCTATCTTCGAAAACTCTTGAGCTAATTCGCCAGCGTGGTTTGGCGCATGCCTCAGGCAACCGCAAGCTAACGTCCGAGCTTGCAAAGCAGTGCAGAGATGCGATCAAGGAAGACCTCAAAGAGAGAAGAGCAGAAGTACTGGTAGATGCGGCAGAAGCCGGGAAAAGTATTCGTAACGCCCGCCTGTCCTTCGCCAACTATAAGACCAAGATGACTGCCCTCCGACGTCCTGATGGTTCCATCACATCCTCCAGAACGGCAATGGAGAAGATTATCCATGACTTCTACTCAAATCTCTTCGATAGCCATGTCCACTTGCCAACATACCAAATTCCACAGGATGGGTATGTCATTCCTAACGTTCTCCCTTCCGAAATCCGACACGCCATTTCGTTGGTAAAGAAGCAAACAGCACCCGGCCCAGACAAGGTCAGACCTGAACACCTGAAGAACC